TTTTGGTTTTACTTGTAAGTAACTAGTTGAAAAGTTCATAGTGTTAATGTTTACGAAGCATTCACACTATTGTGATCCATTTTTCTCCTGTACGTTTTTCAGCATCTTTCTCATCCCACAATTTTTGTGCCATTTCAACAAATCGTATATCAAAACGTTCAGCTCGTTCAGGAGAAGGGTGCTATGAGTGTGGGTGTATTGGTGCAACTTTAGCTTTATGACACATTTAGCCTTTTCTGACACTCTTTTTTTTTTCCTCATAGAAAAAGAATTGAGCTCATTTTACATCCTTCAAATCTTTGGATTTGTTTACAACCTTTTACTGTTCCGTTCACATTTTGTCCCGGTTCAGCTTCCTTGTGCTAACTTAAAACTTTTGTTTTCCAGCTTTCAGTTGTTTTTTCAGCTGTTTTGGGCTACTGCGTTATTCTGCTAACTACAACACTTTTGTGCTTCTTCTAACTTCTTTCTGCTTATTTCAGTATATTATGCGCCTTTTAGCTTATTTCTGCAAGTTACAACTATTTCTGCTGTTTCAGCTACTATTATTTAGCTGTTTTTATGCTAATTTGAGCATTATCAGCTAATTCCACATTTTTTGCACTCATTTAAACTTTTTTTTTCAGCCTAATTCAGCACAAATGTGCTCTCTCCACTTTCTTTTGGTAATTTAAGCTTCTTTCTACTTTTTAGCTCAGCTGTCATCAAAGTTCATGCTCTATCATCCCAGTAAAGAAATCCAACAATTATTGAGCATGAACTTTGATATCTTGAACCACTTTGGCTGTGGACACCTGCAGTCCACGGGGGAGAGGACGGCCCCCAGAAACCATCTTATCACCAGCAAACTGGTTGGTCCACAGTAGGAGTGCACTGCTTTGTGGGGAAAACAGTTTCTCAGATTGAGATGGACGGTGAAACGTCACTCAACAAAAAAAAGGAACTGTCCAGCTGACTTGACTGAACATTGTTGGATACCTTTCAGCTTGTTATTCATTATTTTTTTTTTTAAATGCTTTTTTCAAATATCTTCCACTTTCTTGTGCTCATTTCTGCTTCTTTCAGCATAACTGGGCAACATGTTCTGATTTCTTCTGCTACTTTAAGCTACCTTTTTAGCTTTTTAAAATTTTTTTTAAGCTAATTTCAGATAAATTCAAGTTATTCGTGGTAATTTGTGCTACTTTCAGCCTTTCTGCTTCTTTCAGCTTTTTCTGCTAGTTTAGATTTCTTTGCCTTTTTAGCTATTGTTTGCTAATTTCAGCTTTTTTAGCTCCTTTTTGCTATTTTTCTGCAAATTCTTCCGCATTCACGCTGCATAAATTTTCTCGTTTTATTTGACATAAATGAAGCGTCGCAGGCAGAAGTGGGACAGTAGGAGGCACACGAGCTCCAGCTGGGAGCGCACGTGCGCGCACGCAGACACTTCGCGCTGCCCTCGTGTGCGCGCGCCCGGTCAGGGACTGCTGTTCCTATGATGCAATGGAGACTGCGCCGTGGGAAGCGAGCGAGGAGTTGAATGACTTTCTCCTCCGCAGTTGAGGAGACGCCGCCGCCGACAGGGCTCGGGAGCGGACCGCAGACCTCCTCCCCGACCCGTCCGAACCCCCTCCATGGAAGCACGGAGCCAGGCGTGTCTGCTAGCCCCGCGGCTAGTCGTGTCATGACGGCAGGAGAGATTTCTCACACATCTGCGCGACGAAGCAGCAGCAGCAGCGAGGCAGGAGGAGAGGCACCAACACCCAGTCTGCTCCGAGCCGAAACCAAGTGAGGGAAGGGGCTTTTACCGACATTGTTTCGGGTCGACTCGTCCCCGTTGTTCAGCTGGTGAAGCCAGGGTTAGTCCGGACCACCCATGGCTGAGAGAACCTCCACGGGGCTGCTCTCCATGATGTTGGAGCCCACGCCGGCTGTCGCTATGACCCTTCCGGCGGAGGTCCGGGAGAAGCTGGCGGAGCTGGAGCTGGAGCTGTCTGAAGGTGGGTTAATAAAACGATGAGCCTAGCGCGCGCACTGGTGGTCCTCACAGCCAGGACCACCGCCCTTTATCTTGACTACTTTGTGGTGCATGTTAGAAACCAACCCCACTCTGCTGCTGAACTTCTGCTGCACCCCCCTCCACACAAAAACACCATCTTAACTTGTCCTGCAGTGGTGAGCAGGTTCTCTGAGGAGGATGCAAGGCTGTTCAAAGTTTTTCACACGTTGCTCTGAGTCCAACATATTTAATCAGGTGGCTTTATTCCAGCAGCTGCACGGACACACCCATCACTCTGCTTATAGTTTCCACAGACACATCCAGAGGGCCTCTCCTTGTCTTGAGAAACCATTTATCTGCTAAAGCACTTTATCCCTATCAGAGTTCACTTTACATTTATTGCCCATACCTGTATGTGTTGTCTAATAGCTCAAACCACTGGATGAATATCATTAACTTTTGGAGCCAACTTCATTAATATGGTTAAATACATAAAGTATAGCAACATATTTGTATAAATGTTGACCTAAAATTTGTCGTGGTAGTAGCTGAGACTCATTCCCAACTCCTACTTTGAGTACTAAGTGATGGAAAACTTTTTGTTCTATTGGAATCAACTTTTCCCATCTGTTAACAAAATATCTTATGAACCACTGGATCGTGGGTCTAGTGGCTCTGGAGCCACATGTGGCTCTTTCAAGCTTTGACCAAAACTAACTTAAGACTGAATTTTATTGCTTCTTATCGCAACAAAAAGGGATAGTTTTAGCAGTTTTCTTGTCATTTCTTTTGCAAATGTGTGAATACTAGAACTAATACAAGAAGTAAAACATATTCACTTTAACTTTATGCTTTATTTCTTCAAAATAGGATACTTCATTTTTCCACACACAAACACAAAAAAAAAATCACAGAGCTGCATAGTTCATTGTTTTAGTTTTTTTTTTTTTTAAATTGGCAAAACATTATTTTTTTTTTCCCCAACAAAGTTAAGTCAGGTCCTATAGACAGTTTCTTTGTGTTGAAATGTTTTGTCCTTCATCCAAAGGACTTCATCAGTCCGATGAGCTACAACAAACTCAGTCCCATAAGTGGCTTAATCACACGACCAACCAGTTTGATGGTGATAAGATGGTTTCTGGAGTCCGCCCTATCCCCGTTTGACTCCTCTGAGGCAGTCGATGGGGGAGAGAGCGGACTCCAGAAACCATCTTATCTCCATCAAACTGGGTGGCCCACTATGTGAGTAAGCCACTTATAAAACTGAGTTTGTTGTGGCTCCTCGGACTGATGAAGTCCTTTGGATGAAGGACGAAACATTTCAATAAACAAAAAAGGAAACCGTCCAGAGGACCTGATTTAAACTTTGTTGTATTTTTTTACCTGGATTATTGAGCATGAACTTTGATATATTATTTTTCCATCTTTACAAGAATTTAGTCTTCTTCTGTCTTAAAATGTATCAACAAATGTTAAAAATCATTGGATATTTTCCCCTACTGGTCAGAAAAGCACCCTCCAACAAACGTAAAGTGGTCCGCAGGGCACCAGTTGAGAATCACAGTTGTAACAGGTTTTGTGGCTCCGGACACGTTTAATTTAGTGAACAAGGGGCAGAAATGGCTCTTTTGATTGTAATGGTTGCAGATCCCTGCACTGGATGGGTTTAGCTGAAGCCTGCTTAGTAATTATTGAATGAGCATCCACGATTCTTTAGCTTCTGGAGTCAACCCAATTCAAGATGGCCACCACAGTTACTCAACCTTAAGCACATAAATGACAAAAAAAAGTCATTTATATATTTTGAGCTAATCTCGTAATATCTCATGAAGATCATTTTAAAGTGAACACTTTTGGTATTTCTGAGACTTTTGACTAAAATCAAACCCCAAACCAGTCTAATATTCTCAAACTAAATTATTTACAAAGAGAAAACTGCATATTAAAACAAATTATATTTGTAGTTCCTTTAAGGGGAAAAAAATTGATTAAGTTTTGAAATTCATAATCATATTAGTAAAATATCTGAGCCTCCAAAGCAGTTTAGTCTTTCCTTGCTGGTTAATTAATAGTAACAAATAAGTATATTTGTGCTGCCTCTGTAAGACTTTCCTGCTTGATCTGTCCCAAAATTAGAATAAAATTTCGTCACATTTTTCTTGATCCTATGATCTCCCCCCGCAAAAAAAAAAAAAATCTGGTGCTATGTAAGAAAATGAATGAGGTGCTTGTTTTTCCACAAAGCGCTCGTTTCGTCTCGTCGTTAATTCTTAAGGACTTTCTGTCCTTATTACGTGAAACGTTCTCACATGCTGAAATCAGCTGAGAGGCAGTAAAAGCCGTGCTAATTAATAACCTATATTAATCCTGATTAGATTTGTCGTTTGACTCCAGGGTGAAACTTCTTCATTTTGTTCTCGTAGCTCCGGAGAGGACGTTAAATTGACAAACCTGTAAGCTTTGTCTAGAAATGTGGAAAAAAACCAGAACAAACCTGACACGTAAATAAGAGATAAGATGGTAAATAAGACGTTTAGTCTCCTTGTTGATCTGTTGGCTGACTCTGTCCAAGGTTGGGATTAAACCCAACGTGTTCGCTCTGATAAACACATTAGCAGCCACCAAGGCTTCTAATGGGATAGACATGTTTTCAAGAGTGGCCACCGAACTAATCTATATCTGTCCAGTTTCCTCTTCCTGTTCTCCACATGTCACATCCTGCCATGTTCAAGCTCTGATAGCCCTATCTCCAACCTTTTTTTTTTTTTTTTTCCACTGACATGCTCATATCTGTCCCCACTTCTATATTTCTTTTTTCTCCTATCAAAAAAATGAATGTCTTGTTCTTCAGGCTAAAGAGAATTAGACATATATATTTTCTGCTTTTTCACTGCCTGTTCTTGCCTGCTGCTGTGAACTTTTCACCTCAGGATGTTAAGTTGTCTTCCCCTCGTGTCCTGTCTCAGGACAGAATATTGTAGGTGACTCATTTTATTAGAAGCAGATGAAAAGTAGGTAATCCTGCAACAGGCTCCTCTTTTGTGGATTAAATAAGACTTGTCAAAAAAGCACGTTTTTTTTTTTTAGCGTGCATGCGTGCTGTGTGAGTGTGGAGGAACTTTGTTTTATTCGTGAAAGCGAAGAGTGTTGTGTGTGTTTTTTAAGCTGTTTATCAGAATCTTATAGTATCAGTTTGAGATAATCCAGCAGCTCATCTCTATAATATTCTGGTGTCAGCAGCTAAGGCTTGCTGATGTGTGAAATAAACAACCTGCACGCTTTTATTCTGGTAGCTTTTCCTTCCACGGAGGCTTTCTTTATCAAAGTCTTTGGTTTTGTTATCGTCCAAATGTTGAAGCGGCGATTGCGTTTCTGCCCATGTCTGAGTGTGCGTTTGTATATTTGCCTGTTAGCAAAATATCTCAAGAACCACTGGTTGGATTTTATTAAAACTCACAGAAAGTAACATTAAATTGCTACACAAGTCTCTTTTAATTTTATCTGTAAGTGAAATGTTGATACAGAGTACCACAAAGTTCAGTCAGGTCATCTGGATGGTTTTTGTTGTTGTTGTTGAGACGTTTCATCCTTCATCATCCAAAGGACTTCATCAGTCTGAGGAGCCACAACAAACTCAGTCCCACAAGCAGCGGACCAACCAGTTTGCTGGTGTTAAGATGGTTTCTGGGGCCTGCCCTCTCCCCTGTCAACGACTCTGAGGCATCCATAGCCAAAGTACAAGTAGTTCAAAACATCAAAGTTCATGCGCAATAATCCAGGTAGAAAAAAATCTGAGGAGTCGATGGGGGAGAGGGCGGGCCCCAGACACCATCTTATCACCAGCAAACTGGTTGGTCCACTATGCGAGTGTGCTGCTTGTGGGACTGAGTTTGTCTGTGGCTCCCCAGACTGTTGAAGTCCTTTGGATGAAGGATGAAGTGGCTCAACAACAAACAAAAAAACATACCGTCCAGATGACCTGACTGAACTTTGTTGGATTTTTTTTTTTTACCTGGATTATTGAGCATGAACTTCCATGTTGCTACAGAGTAGTTGTCTTAAAAAAAATCTACATGCAGCCATTTTTTTCCTCCAATTTAATCCATGCACTTTAATTATTTGAAAATTCAATAATAGCCACGAAGATTTCCCTCTCATGTTCTCCAAAACTTTAATTTACTTCCAGGAAACTTTGAATGTGACTCAACAGACTAAATGTTTTGCAAACGGTCCAAAAAGTGGACTTTAGATTATTAATATTAGCCCATAACCTCAAATATTTATGTCTAAACCATAGACAAACACATATAGGTGTTATATATAAATGTTATAATGTAATATCTTAGAATCAAAAGTATTCACTCTGTTCTCTTGGTGAGTTTCAAAGTCCTGTTAGTCTCATTGAGTTTATTGGAGGAGTAGCTTTTCTTCCTTTCTGACAGTTTTTATGATCTAAGCGAATCAGCTGCAAGTATCAACCCATTGACCATAATGAAACGTAAGTACATTATTTTTCTTATTTGTTTAGTCAAAAAAAAAAAGTTTTCCAAAATGTTTTTATTAGCATTTAGTTGATAAAGCCCCTGTAATTGCTGTAAATGAATGTGCTCCTGCAGCTTTTTGTGGCTCTTTATTATGAACTGGATGATTCTACGTTTGTGAGACTATTTCCTGCCATTTAAACCGTGTTGGGAGACTGAGTGCCCTTCTGACCGAATTCTCAGCTTTGTAGTTATGAGAAGAACATGTGCTCTTTTTCCAGCTGACCTAAATGTAGATGAGTGGCCAAAAGATGGGGCATGAAGGAGGGCAAGAAGACGGATGATCCCCATTATCTCCTGCAGAGAAGAAGCAGGGAGCTAGACGTGTCTGCTGAGTAATTCATAGGCTTACGCTGTAATTCCCTGGTTTTCTGTCCTCCTCCTCTGTTTGCTCTCTAAGCCCTCTGATTACAAAGTCATTTTTACGTCCATCCTGTTGAAGTTTACAGGAGAAAACTGC